CTGTGTGGTTGACTCCTGGTTGCAAGATAAAGACTTCCAAAGTGTGTGACCCACCTGTATTCTACCCTGTCAGTGAGCCAAACTGTTTTTGGTGTAGATCCTTTTCTGGTCCCCTTACTTTAAATGAAGAAGAAAATCCAGTTTTCATAAAAGCCAAGATCAGTTCTGGATATATTTCTACATAAGACAGATTAAGTTCCCAGATTCTTAGGAAGATCAAAACTAAATTTAATTTTAAGGGCCCTGATCAATATGCAGATAAAGGCCATATTTCATATCACAAGCAGGATGAGGTATTGGCTGATAAGAAGAGAATTTCCTTTACAGAAAATATATGAAGAAAACAGCTTCGTGTATTTGCATGCAGAAGCAAATGGAGAGAAGACAGGCTATTGTAAATTGTTGTTGGATATAGAAAATGGACTTGCTGGATATAGAAAATGGACTTGAAATAAATTCTTTTCTTTCTTCTGGGACAGTCTACAAAAGGAAGAAACGTGATGTTCCTTGTCCATGCTAAAGAAAGACAAACCTGTTTCTCTTCTCTATAGTAGAGGAGAGTAGTTCTCCTTATTTGGGAGAATTTCTTAAAGCTTCAACGTGTCTGTCTTTTGAATTTATTTCTTGTGTCTGTGTCATGTGCAAAGTGTTCACAATAATTCAATTTTTCTATATTAGATGCTAAAGATTTATTATTTGGCACTTTGCCCTGTCACATAAAAGAATGTGTATCTGAACTCTCAGACAATATTTGAAACTGGTGGCAATTGTTATGAATAATTCCTAGGCAATTTGCATTCCCTAAGAGATTTCCTTTTAGAATCCTTTGACTGTTTGCATTCAAAAGAAAAACAAAATCCCAAATTCACATCTGCAACAGTAATTCCTTCCTTACAACCTCATCTTTAGTTTGTAGCTATTCAGCTATAATTTCCCTCAAATAGTAAGTAGAAGCAACTAAAATATTTTTGGTGAATGTTTTATTTATAAATGTTGAGGGTAAACTAACATCCACTGAACAGATGAGAAAAAGAAAAGAGGAGCAAATTCATGCTGTAAGGGGACTTTTCACAATATATTTAGTCAGTCAGCACAGGATCAGACAAGGCTATGAAGATTTCTCAAAGGTGGAATCATTAAGTTTTCATGAATAAGTTGTAAACCGGTGCTCTTCGTTGCTCTTGCTTTTTTCACTAGAGAGTATTTTTCACTTCCTACCCAACTATAGCAACTAAATGTATATTTCTATTTTTATGCTTAGATGTTTTTTCTCACAGTGTTAGCTACTGATGAGTGTGTAGAATATGGAGTTGGGATTTAAAGTTTGTGAAAACATTGAGATGTATTAGATCTAATGCTGTTCCTATTTTTATTGCTGAATCTTTACTGCCATCTAATAGAGAAGATTTTAAGTCTGTATTTTTCTTGAGGGGGATGAATGAAATGAGACACTTTTCTCTCCTATAGTATGCCAGAGCCTCTTGTGATCTTGCAGGTACTCTGTTAGGAAAACTTTAAGGGCATCTGAGGTCCATTATGAAAGATTGTGGAGGAACTCTGCCAACCTCTTGTTCTTTCTTTCTATTTTGATGTACCCTTCAACTCAGTGAGTACTAGTTTTGTAATTTGCCAGCACTCTGGAGAGCTCTGGCAACAAACATCTTATTTGTATATAAAGAAGTACTGTATCACAAGGAAATCATACTTTTTTTTCATAGAATCAAAGAATAATTCTCTTGGAAGAGAAGTCATATGGTCATCTGGTCAAGCCTGCTTTGCAAAGCGGGTTCAGCCCCAGGTTGCTCAGAGCTTTGTACAGTTACGTTTTGAAAACTTCCAAGGATAAAAACCTGTACAGCATAAGCTCTCTAGGCAAGCTTATCCAATTTTTCTTACAGTGTTGTGGTTTTGAAATCCATTCTCATTCCTGGACGCCAAAGACACCAAAGATGTTCTTCTGAGCTACCAAAAAGTCTCTGCAGAGGTGTGAAAATATTGTGTGAAGAGTGTCTAGAAAAGAAAGGAGTCAAGCACGTCACTGAATCTGTAGCATCATCTCCTACCTTCAGATAGAAAAAAAAAATGGGAGAAGCTTAAGACAATGGGTGATTGCCTGGAAAAAACTCCACTGTCCAGTGTCAGGCTTTTTTCTGGTGTTGTCTCTTCTTGCAAAGAAAGAACAGAGGGACTGATCTGTTTTAAGCTGATTTCTGCATCTTCCAGCAGAAAATTGGCACTGTCCGTAATTTGGGCCACTCTTCATTGTCGTGATCCAGTCACTTACTGTTTCATTCTGACCATTATCCATGTCTGGGAGTGAAAAGGGCATGTTGATGGCATTTGTACATTTTCATGGTAATTTACAATTACTTCTGGAACAATTTAATTATTTTGAGACCCCCATATCACATCAAATACGGATGCTGAATGTGGCAGCTTCTTCCCACTAGAGCTGACAGGCCAGAAGTAACAAAGGGGGACTTTCTCCCACCTGGAAATTACATGGAATATTCCTTAGAGTGGCAACAGATCAGATCTCTACCAGATTTCCTCAGCAGGTGAAGTGCATTTGAATAAACTGGTGAGTTGTGTTTTCTGCCACCCGTACAGTCTTCTACTAGAATAAGGTTAAACTGACCTGTTCCTTCACAGCAAACTAATGCTGTGATGTTTCTTAGAGCTATTGTTCCAGACTTTCAACAAAATGATTTCATTGCATACATTAGACTGTTCATAATTTCAGCTGAGAGAAACAGCTTGAACTCTGGATGCTTACAAGTGGACTTTGTTATGTGGGGTAGCCTAGAAGTTCAAGGGGCTGTGCCCTCAATTGATTTGGACTTCTCTGAGGAAGAAGGGCTGTCTGTCATATTTCCGGTGTGAAATTCTTACAGTGAAACAATATATGATTGCCCCAAAGATGGAGCTTTTTCCATTCAGTTTTCCAGTTTTAGTGCTTTCTAGTTGCATAAAGACTGGAAAACTTGGATAACAATAATAGCAATTTGTGATGCTTTTGCTGAATTCTATGCTGTCTTTATTATACACTTTTTCCAAGAATTTAAAATTTTCTACTGAGGATCTCTCTCTCAAGACCCTATTTAAAAATACTTTTTTTGGCCCATTAAAGATAACTTTGCAGCAACCATGCTTATGTTGGGTTGTGTAAACATGGGTCTTTGTTTTCTTTCCCAAACAGCCCGACATTGAACTTGCCCTAATTTCCAAAGCTAAAGGGAAAGTCACTTGCTATCTTTCACATCTCTTCTCTTTTGGATATGCCAGCTTTCTGCAGTGCAAAAGGATCAGTGCAACCAAATCTCTGTTTTGCGGATTTCAAAATTTCCTGAAATGATGAGGGAAATTCTCCTTGGTTACTGTGTTGAGAAGTTTATCAATTATTTGTTTCTGTTATCTTCAGACCCTTTGTTTCAAACGCCATTCAAAGTATTGAATTATTGAATTATCTCCAAATGATTAGAGCACTTAGCATGTACTTCCCAGTGCACAGTTACATGCTTCAGGCAATTGGTATTTTTATTTGAAAATCTGTGAACTGTTGTAGGAGTTTCCTGTCTCTCTGGTTTAGCAAATTATGAATGTGGCGTGGTGTCCTGGTTCTGGCAGGGATAGACTTAATTTCCTACCTTAGTAGCTGGTACAGTGCTGTGTTTTGGATTTAGGATGGGAACAAAATTGATAACGCACTGATGTGTTAGTTGTTGCTAGGTAGTGCTTACACTAGCCAAGGACTTTTTAGTTTTCCATGCCTTACCGACTGAGAAGGCTGCAGGTGCACAAGAAGCTGGGAGGGGGCACAGCCAAACTGGCCAAAGGGACATTCCATACCATGTGACGTCATGCTCAGTACATAAACTGGGGGAAGCTGGCCGGGGGGGCCGCTGCTCGGGGACTGGCTGGGCATCACTTGCTTTGTGTATTATTATTATTATTATTATATTGTTGTTGTTATTATTATTATTATTATTATTATTATTATTATTATTTTATTTCAATTATTAAACTGTTTTTATCTCAACCCACGAGTTTTTCTCACTTGTGCTTTCCAATTCTCTCCCCCATCCCACCGGGTGGGGGGGAGTGAGCAAGCGGCTGCGTGGTGCTTAGTTGCCGACAGGTTAAACCACGACATGTGGTCTGATTTCTCTATCTTCTCTTGTCTTTGCATGAACAGAAGATGCAAGACTTCCATCCGTGATTTTATTGTTGTCATCTATGCTTCCCCCCTGACAATTTTTCCTTAGAGTGCTTTTTCTAGATGCTTTCTCCACTTACTGGCATATGGCTTTGTTTTCGATATCAAGGAATTACTTTATGCTTGGGGGGTTGTTTTGATCTTAAAAGATGGAGACAAAAGCCCTTGTGTGAACTGGTTATTTGTTTTTTAGATCCACATGATTTTTCCTGTTACTTACCTAATGCCAGAAGTGATCTTGTCCACAGAAGCCAAACTCTGAGCTTTTTAGCTAGACTGCTTCTAAAGGAAGATACATGGTCCTCAGCCTGGCTTTTTCGGCTAATTAAATCTGAGTGTTTTATTCTAGGTTGTAAACCTCCTCACTCAAAATCATGCATTTCACAATAACCCTAGATCATTCTCTGTGTGGAGCTTGGGTCAGTGTAGATTAACCTGAAACAGTAGGTTGAGGCTTATGTTCAGCCGCTCCTCTGTTAGGATTCACCATCACAGGTATTTGCAGGAGTTAGCTAACCTGAATGGAGAATCCTTGACAACACTGTTGCATGAATCCAGGTGCTTCTTAAAATCTCTCAGTGCTGGCCAGATCTTTGCAACAGCTCTTGTCTGTTTAATGAAATTTGGGACTGTTTACTGTGTATTTATGAACACCATAAGCCAGATGAAGCATTCCTCTCAAGTGTGACTGAATGTGTTCTTATCTTGTCATTGGATGTTTGTCTTAATTTACTATCCTTGTGTTCTTTGCTGCATTTGTGTCTTTTCTATTTTTCTTTTCCAGAATACAACACATTTTCAAATGCATTGAAGAGATGCTGTAGCCAAAAGAAGAACTCTGTGTTCAGTCAGCGAACAGATGAAGCATCCGCTGCTCAGTATTTTCAGGTAATGAAACTTCAGTGCCAGTTTGTGAAATCTAAGTTACTGTTGTTTTTTTGACCTTTGTCACCAGGTCAGTTAGAAAGAGAGCTTAGGTTTATTTAGAGGATGGTCAGGACATTGGTAATTTAAGTACCAAGTAATTTAAGGTAAGATTGATAGAAGACGGGCTTTATCTTTTTTCTGTTTTTCCTCTCCTCCTTTTAGTTTTATGGCTGTCTGTCTCAACAGCAGAATATGATGCAGGATTTTGTGAGGACAGCCACTTATCACAGAGCTATCCTACAGAACCACATAGATTTTACAGACAAGGTAAGCTCTGTTAAGAGTCTTAAATGTTCCAGCATGCTGCTTAGGCTCTAAAATTCAACTTGCCCTGTAGCGCAACACTGATCAGACTGGAGTCTTTTCTCACCTGGGACTTTGTGCATGAATATACTAATTCATGTGCGCTTTATATTATTAATGTTATTGTCAAGCACGTGAATGACAACACATGATGGTGATGGTACATCCTCAGGATGAATGGCGCCAAACATGGATCCAAACATGACCTACAAATTCCTCTGCTGTCTTCTGTGGACAATCTGGGAACCTACACGTATATGTTTCTTGATATTTTGGGCTGTTAACATTCCCATTTGGCATCTTGGAGCTCACATACAATATTAGTTTCCCTATCTTAACTGTTGACTGTGTATTTGCTATTGTGCCATATAATCTCTTGCAAATACCTGCAAAGATATTCTAGTTTATGTCTCTTTCATGGAGGTCTACACTGAATGTTTTTACACCCCACAGTCATTACAAACTGAGTAAGCACATAAGTGGCTGCTGTGACTCCATTTGTACAAAGCAAAGATTTGGAAACAATGCAGGAACTTACAACTTCAGATGCCAAACTCATCTCTAAAATATGTATATAGATCTTGAAGACTACTGTAATGAATATAACGATGATGATTACTTCTTTATCTAGTCCTCTGCCTCTCACATTGTCCAAACCAGGCACTTCAGCAAAAGGCAAAAGAAAACTTACAGTGGGGAGATGTAGGATAATCTGCCTCCCAGCCACATATTAAGTGGTTTTCTAATTTCATTTTTTTAAGCTCCTTGAAAGGCAAAGCATAGAACTAGTATATTTTACAACGTTTTTTCACTTTTTTTGTCTATTGTAAGTAGTCACACTAACTAGAGACTTTCTGACCCTCTCCAGGACCAGTGCCTATGCACACTCTTCTCTGATTCCACCCTTAATACAGCAACAAATTCCATAATATAATCACACGTTATGCGGAAAAGTATCTCCTTTAGTAAGATTTCTAATTTATCAGCTGTCTATTTCTGTCATTTTACTCTTATGTTGTGCAGCAAAGGAGAATTGAAGTTCTAATTTCTTTATATCATTCCTCCATTGCATCAATTTTTGTTATCTCTTCTTATGTAGTCTTGCTTCTGAGGTCAGTGTTCTCAGTCCTCTCTGTCTTTTTCTGTATGAAGAAATTGCACGTGCCCTGTTATCATTCTTGCCCTCTTTCTCAGTGTCACCATTAATTCTGCAGCACCTGTTTTGAGAAGGATTGGCAGGAGTTATGCATGGTAGTGTAGACAATGCCATACAATTTTTTAATATTGCAGAAGTCCAACTTCCTAGTTATTCTTTACTGTACTTCTCATAAATCTTGACTTTTTTTCCTGGGACTGCATCTGTCCATTGAGCATTGATCTTCACCAAACAATTCATAATAGTGCCTAGGCTTTTTGTTGTTGTTGTTGATGATAATGATGCATTTAGAACTTGGATGGTATATGAACAGTTCATATTTTCCACAAAGATATATTAATCAGCACTGAATTTAATTTATCTGTGCATTTTCCGGTGGCCTACCTTCACTCTCTCTCTCTGCTTTTTAATCACTGGATGTTGTTGTGTCATCTGCATATCTTCCTATAACACTGCTCAGCTCTCTTAATAAAATAATAAAAAACCAGCAAAAAATATTAGACTACATGTGACCTTCTGTAAGCAAATAGACAGTTTGTAAGCAGCAGCCTA